GTGAGCGATTCACCGTATTGTGAATACATTAACTACGTTATATAAACGTTGCCCGGACCCCATACAATAACGTTATGTTGAACGTTACATAAAAAAAGTTTTACACGTTATATAAACGTTAATAAAAAAACCCTACACATTTACGTTATTAACGTTACAGAAAAGACGTTATAACAACTGTTTGGCGATAAGGCGTTATAAAACGTTATAATATACGTTTTTGTGTTAGCTGGAAGGTCCGTAAATCACAGCGGTCGTTGGGAAAAGCAACCTTTCAGAAAAAGGCAACTTTCAGAAAACGCGATGTTGCGCGCGGGAATAAGTATCATTCTGCGTTCCGCGAGAAAACCGTAGTGTTTCCGCGGGGATTTTGCATAATGTTTATTTGCCAAACAGGGGTATATATGTTTTGTGGAAATAGTACATGTGGTGTTTTGAGAAGAAGTATATGTGTGTGTTGTGCGATTTATATTGGGGGTTTATTTCGCACAAACACATGTGTTTGACTGGAATTTGACAGATCGTACACGCATAGGCTGTCAGCTGCTGCCGCTCCAGCTTTGAACGTATAAGAACGCCGAAGAAAGTAGGGTTATCTTGGCGAATAAGGACGAATAAGTGCGAATATAGTGCGAAGTGGCGAATAAGTGCGAAGTGAAGGAGCACATTTGCGCTGGACTATTCGCACCGCGGCGGTGCGAACAGGAGACACAGCGCGGGAGAATCCCTGCGGCGTTTGCTTCTAGTTCGCACCGGCCAGCACACACACAACACAACACACACATCACCACATATTCTCACAGCATAACACAGCACACACACACACACACAACACCACACACACACAGCACACACCATCGGAACACATACACCACACACACACCCACGCACATACCACACACACACATATACACACAACTCACACTAAACACACACACACACACCACACACACACAGTGCCACACACACACACACCTACATACACACAGGCTGGCGGCCACATTACACAGGGCAATCTGGTGGGGATGCTGCTAGCGATATGAAGGTGGATGTACTGAATTATTACCATGCCACACGAGCTTGTCAGCCTGCGCGGGCTGTCGAATTATTTTTCCCGACTATGAGGTGCGGGACCGCACCAATTAAGATAGTGTTTTGTAAAATATAAATGGTTCTTATATATATCGGTTGGATTATAGTATTATGTGTTTTAGGGTTCCGTATTGTGTTTACGGGTGAGGGTGAGGGTACGAGGCGTGAGGTAGTTAGGGTGAGAGGTGAGGTTAGGCGATAGGATGTATTCATTTTAATTGATGCCTTTGAGGAAAGTCGACTGTGAATGGAGTGCGCTGATTGGCGCTATAGTCCGGACTATCAATCATGTGAGTGGGAAAAAAGATTTATGCTGCCCGGCTCCCATTTGAACGTATATGAACTGACGCGAGAATATTATCTAATTGGCAGTGTCAAACGGGCGGACGGACGTTTGGCAGCGTCCATTTGCGCCAACATTAGCATAGCTGGATATTGTAGGCGGCTGATTGCTTGGTGGCGTGTAGGGAAGGCTAAAGGATGAAGCATGTAGATAAAGATTTTACTATGGCACACGAGAATATTACTATCTACCGAGATATGTTACTTTTTTTTCCGGAGGAAGCGACAAACCGGCACCTCAGCTGTCTGCTACTTTTTGGACTTGGCGATGTGACAAAAAGGTCGCGCCAGTGTGCGGTGATCAAGTATCCGCAATGATATTCGCATCGCGGTGGCGAATACATGACACATTCTGCTGCTATTGCGGCACCGCGGCGGTCGAACAAGGGAAGTTTGCTTGCGTATTCTGCACCGCGGCACAACCGACACACACACACACACACACACTCACAACACACACACACACGACTACACACACACACACACGCACACACTGTACGACCACACCTGTCACACACACAACAAACACACACACAACGCAACACACACAAACACACACACACACACACAAACACACACACTCATTCTTCACACATTACACACACACTCACACACATCATTCAGGCACACACACACCACACACACACACAACACACACACTACGGACACATACACACACACACACACACACACACACACACACACACACACCACCACAGCACACACATCACACATACACACCACCCCACCACATAACACACAATCTGGCGGGATGCTGCTAGGGCGAAGTGAAGGCATGTAGACAAAGGATTGTACGCATGGACACACGTCGGCTGTCACGCCTTGTCCGGCTCCACTTTGAACGTATAGAACGGCCGAAGAATATTATCTTGCGAATAAGGGACGAATAAGTGCGAATAACGTGGCGAATTGCGAATAAGTGCGATATGGACACATTTGGCTGCTATTCGCACCGTCGCGGTGGCGAACAAGAACCACGTTTGCTTCTGTTATTCGCACGCCGGCACACAACACCACACCCACCACACACCGCACACACACATATACACAACATACACACACACAACACACACAACACACGACATATTTCTCAGCACATACACACACACACACACACACACACACACACACACACACACACATCACGACATTCACACACAACACACATCACACACACACACACACACATACAACACACACATGCAACAAACACACAAACACACACACCAGCATGCATCACCAGCACACTACAATACACACACCCACAATAGCACACAAAATCCTGGCGGGATGCTGCTAGCAACGAGTGAAGCATGTAGATGAATTTTAACCATGCAGCAACGTGCGTCAGTCTGCCCGGCTGCGAAATTTTTTTTCCGACTTCAGTTCCGGACCCACCATAGCATTTAGTGTTTTGTAATAAATGTGTTGTTATATTATAGTGGTTGGATTATAGTTAGTGTTTAGGGTTCATGTACCGTGTTAGGCGATGGCGTGAGGGTGAGGGGGTAAGGCGTACAGGGTAAGGGTGAGGGTTAGGGGATAAGATGTATTCATTTTACATTGTTGCTTTGAGGACAGTCGATGTGAATGGAGTGGCGATTGATTGGCTGTTGTCCGGAAGCTCAGTGGGAAAAAAGATTTTGCTGCCCGCTCCACTTGAAGCGTATAGAGAACGACGAAGAATATTACTAATTGGCAATCACTGCGAGCCGGACGTTGCAGCGTCACATTTGCCCATACATTAGCATAGCTGGGAATTGTAGCGCGATGCTGCGAGCAAAGTGAAGCATGTAGATAAGATTTTACTATGCACACGAGATATTACTATCTACGAGATATTTACTTTTTTTCCGGAGGAACGACAACCGGCACCTCGCTGTCTGCTATTTTTGACTCGGGAATGTGACAAAAGGTCGCGCCAGTGTGCGGTGATCAGATCCGCAAATGATATTCGTATCGCGGTGCGAATAAGGACACATCACACACATTCTCACACATACCAACACACCACACATCACACACACCACACACACGGACAGCTACACCCACACACATAACCCACACACACACACACACACACACACACACACACACACACACACACACACACACACACACACACACACATACACACACCCACATACACACAATCGTGGCGGGATGCTGCTAGCGAAGTGAAGCATGTAGATACGATTGTACCATGCACACGTGATGTCAGCCTGCCGGCTCCACCTTGACGTATAAGTAACGGCCGCAAGAATATTATCTGCGAATAGACGAATAAGTTGCGAATAAGTGCGAAGTGCGAATAAGTGCCGAAATAAGGACACATTGCGCCTAGTTCGCACCGCGGCGGTGCGAACAAGAACACGTTTGCTTTTGCTATTCGCACGCGGCACATCACACATACATACACACACACACACACACACACACACACACACACACACACACACACACACACACACCCACATGCACACACACACCTACATACACACACCCACATACACACAATCCTGGCGGGATGCTGCTAGCCGCAAGTGGAAGCAGTGTAGATGAATTTTACCATGCACACGTGCTGTCAGCCTGCCCGGCTGCGAAATTTTTTTCCCGACTTGAGTTCCGGACCCACCATAGATAGTGTTTTGTAATAAATGGTTCTTATATATATGGGTATGGCATTATAGTTAGTGTTTAGGATTCGTGTTACGCTGTTAGGGTTAGGTGAGTGATTGAGCTGTGGGGTGATGTGGTGAGTGTGAGGCGGTGCAGGCCGTGAGGGTTCAGGGTGGGGTGAGGGTGAGGGTTAGGGATTAGGATGTATTCATTTACATGGTTGCTTAGAGAAGTCGCGTGAATGGAGTGCGCTGATTGGCTGTTTGGTCCGCGAACTCAATCGGGCAAAAAAGATATTGCTGGCCCGGCCTCCACTTTGAACGTAATATCGTATTATGTTATATCATAAGTATAAATATTTAGAATTTATTAAAAATATGTAAATTAGTATAATATAAAATTTATTATATAACACACTTATATATAGGTATTATATAATTAATATATAATAATATAAGTATATTATTATAATTCTATTAATAAAAATAGTTATAATCTTATATCAAAGTACTTAATTAATAACTATTATATATATTATATAACAAAAATTATGTACTATTTATAAAATATGGAAATAATGAAATTCGCTAATTATATTTAATAAATAATGATATTTTTAATATAAAGAAACGCACCGAAGAATATTATCTTGGCGGATAAGACGAATAAGTGCGAATAAGGCGACACATTTGCTGCCTATTCGCACCGCGGCCGCGTGGCGAACAAGACACGTTGCTTGCTATTCGCCACCGCCGGCACACACACACACACACACACACAACACAACACACACACACACACACACAACCACACTGACACACACACAACACACACGAACACACACACACCAACACATACACACACACACACACCGATTCTCACACATATCACACACACTCACACACACACACACACCACACACCCACACACATATTCTCAGCACATACACACAGCACACGACACACACACACACACACACACACACACACACACACACACACACACACGACACATACACACACACACACACAAACACACACCACACACACACACACACCACACACACGACACATACACACACACACAAACACAAACACACACATCACACACACACACACACATTACACATACACACACCCACATACACACAATCGTGGCGGATGCCTGGGTTAGCGATAGCTGAAGCATGTAGAGAAGATTGTACCATGCACACGCGCTGTCGCCCTGTCCGTGCCTCCGACTTTGCACGTATTAAGACGCGAAGAATATTATCTGCGAATTAAGGCACAGAATAAGTGCGAATAAGTGCGAAGTGCCGAATAAGTGCGGAATAGAGGACACATTTGCTGCTATTCGCACCTGCGCGAGCGTGCGAACAAAGAACACGTTTGCTTGCTATTCGCCACGCGGCACAACACACACCACACATCACACACACACACACACAGCACACATCACAACACACGGTACACCACACACACACTGTACCCACACACAAACACACACACACAACACACACACACACATACACCCACCCACATGCAGCACACACACACACACAACACACACACACACACACACACACACACCAGGCACACACGGGCACACATACACACACACACAACGACAAACACACACACACACACACACACACACACAACACACAACATACCATTACACACACCCACATACACATAATCGTGGCGGATGCCTGCTAGAGAGCTGAAGCATGTAGAAAGATGTGTACCATGCACAACGCGCTGTCAGCCTGTCGCGGCCTCCACTTTGAATGTGTGTTCAGTGTGTGCCGATAAGTGCGAAGTGCGAATAAGTTGCGAATAGGACACTTTGCTGCTATCGCACGCGGAGGTGCGAACAAGAACCACGTTTTGCTTGTATTCGCCCACCGCCGGCACCACACACACACACACACACACACGCACACACACACACACACACACACACTGCACACACACACAAAACACAAACACACACACACATACACCACACACACACACCACACACACACACATCTCACACATACACACACA